TATTTTTGTTAAAATGTCCTTAAAACAATTTATACATGTATTCTAATTTTAACACTAAATATCATGAAAACTATCCATTTATGCGCTTTTTTAAAATCACGGTTCCGAACGTAGTCGGATACCTTAATATCTTAAATAGCAGTAGTTAGTAAATGCTGATAAAATACTATTATACTTTTTTTTATCAATTCAATTCCTACTTAGTTCACTCTTTCTCTCTATATATTTATTTATATGTATCTTGTTCAAATTTTCAATCGTCAATAAAATACTTTCCATTCATCCATTCAAGTAACACTTGTAGTGGATTTTAAACTTGCAGTGGATAGCACATGATGCTAATACAGTTTTTTCAGATATTAATTCATTAATTACATTTACTAATTAATGAATAAATAGTAAGAAGCAAAAATAATAGCCCAATTCCATACATAAAAAGAAAAATCATTCGTTTTATCCCTGTAGCGCAATGGATAGCGCGTTGACCTTCTAATTCAAAGGCTGTGGGTTAGAATCCTCCCTGGGATGACCTAATTTCTGAGAATGTGTGATTTCTCTTTTTCGCTAAACTAATTATTAGAAGAATTAAATTTAATTAATGAATAAATTGTAACAAACAAAATAAAAAGTCCAACGCCATATACAGAAAGGGAAATTCCAAAGAAAATCGCTTTCTATTTTGTCTCTTAATATTATGATTCTGTCATATGTATATATGTATTTATATTAATTGTAATTATTTAATAAAATGTAACTAAAATAAAATTTTCTTTATTGACCTAAGTAGAAATTGACTTAATTTTTTTATATATATTACTGGTTAATGTAGCAACGGTTTCAAGGGTGCTAATTCAATGTCTTTTCTGATTGTAGACATATTTTGTAATAGTTTTTGGTTTTGATGAATACCTTATAAGAATATAATATATAATTTTTATCCATAATTTGATGACAAGGATTTGTATCAGTACTTCGTACCCTATAAATATCTTTACCACATTAAATAATAACATTAAAGACCAGTTTAATTTGGTACGCAGCAATCGGTTTTATTTGGAATGATGATTTTTGATGAAATTGGAATCTGAAACTACTGCACTGATTACTTGTAATTTTACATCTAAGCTTAATCCAACGCAGTTTAAAATGTAACTTTACATAGATGTATATAAATCACTGAATTTCTTGCAACCATGGTAACTGAATGGTCATGGTGGGGACCCTACCATCAATGAAATTTCATTCTAGTTGAGTCATTCTAGTTCTACCCCCCACTGAAATTCCATATCACAAAGGGGTGGATGCTCGTTAAATCAGTCGAAACTCCGAGTTCAATTTCTAGTAATCATGGATGTGAATAGTAGCTCGCCAGAGCTCAAGTGTCGGTCTTATCATCTGATCCTGTTTTAAATTTACGAGGCGTATAGGTCGTTGTTAACAAGCCTTAGGTGGAGCAGAAATACGCTCCCAGAAAATATTGAATAATCAAATAAACCCATATTTGCTTAGTATTTTATATGCCTTAAGGTATCCGACTACGTTCGGAACCGTGATTTTGCAAAGCGTATAAATGGATAATATTTATGATATTTAGTGTCAGTTGGATTATAAAATGTATATAAAATTGTTTTAAGAATATTATTACAATAAAAAATTATTTAAGTACAATATTTTAACAAAAAATTAACATAGAATGACCCATTTTCAAAATATTCTCCTTTTGTGAAAAATGCTTCTATTATGATAATATTTTGCCTGCTTATAGCTCAGACCTCTGTACAGAGGTTCAACTAAAATTTTTGAAATATATAACTTAGAGGGGAGAAATTTCAAGAAAAAAACGCTGATAATTATTTCAAATAATTGTAACTCTGAAAATAATGTGAATTTCTCAAAAAAAAATAGTTCAGACTCTCTGGAGAAG